TTCCACATTCTTTCCAGGAAACATCTTAACTGAATTCTGTTGTTTCCTTTTCATTCATGTTCAAGCAGAACATTGTGATTTATATACATACTCCCAAGTTTACCTTCAGTCCTTCTTTTATTTAATTAAAAGGACCAATAATTCTATCTTTGTTCTGATTTATATTTCCTTAAGTGCAAATCCATTCAGGTCAAAGGTATATGTGCCTCTGTACTGAAAAACAGCACAGGAAGTAACTGTCTCAGACATACGGGGCTGAATGTTCTACTTCACTACACAGCCTTGACAGGTAATAAAACCTGCATGAATTGCTGACATGCATAGTTGCTTTCTCTCCGTTGGTTTCCTGCACACCTATCCTCATTTCTTCTGATTCAGTGAATGTAGGAAAGGAAAGACTCAAAACCAATCTTTTAGTCAAAGTCTGGTGTTGGTCTTTAGGCACATTACTAGTTTCTGTCAGTCTGTTGGCCGAGAGTGACAGAAACAGGACATTGCAAAATCTCCTGGGATGTAGTCATTGTGAGGATGGGTTGAGCCAATGTGTGAGAAGTGGTTAGCCCAGCGACTACCTGTCCTCACTTTTATTGTTTAATACATTTAGATCTTAGGTGAGTCAGTGCTTATTCTTATAGTTTAGAATGAGTAAGTTATGCAGTTTCTTAGCAGAATAGACACTTTCACACAATGGGCCAAGCCTTCCAGTATACAGATGAGTAAAGGAAGGCATCAGGACTAAGATGAGCAGTCCCCCAGAGAGTGCTAGTCAAGGTTTTCCTTCACTGACCATGAGTCTGCAGCAGCACAGTGCAGTGCTCATTTTCTTTTAGAAATGCATAAAAGAATATGACGTGTTAAGGCCGATCCCCAGGGCCACTGTCTGCAGCTTTAGGGCCAATAGAGCAGTCTTACGTGAGTCCCTAGGGATAAACTGCCAGATCAGAGCAGCTCACCTGCCAGCAGGAGCCTTTGTTCTGTTTACTTCTGATGGACTCATATCTCTGTGTCCTCAGGGTCTCTGTATTTCTCCTGCCACTTAAATTACAGTTTAGGTAGAGAAAATAACTTTCCCCAGTGTTTTTTTCATACTGAATTTTTATTCTTTAAGAATTTCACATGTGTATACAATGTATGTTGATCATCATATTCACCTCTAGCTCCTCTTAATGCTACCCTGTAGCAACTTTGTGTCATTTTTTTCCTTAATAACCCATTTGTGCTGCCCATACACTATTCATTGGTGGAGGAGCAGCCACTGGCCACACCCCTAAAGAAAACTGACTCTTCCTCCTTAGAAGCCTTCAAATATCAATAGCTCCTTAGCTAGGGTTGGGGACCCATGACCCTCTTCCCTTTCCCCCCTCCAATGGAATGGTAACTGGCTTGGTCTTGTGTAAGTCCTGGGCAGTAACCAGTGGTTATGAGTTTGTGGGCACACTGGTCCTGTCATGTCCAGAAGACACTGTTTCACTCTGGTCTTCCCAATCCTGGGTCTTACGGTCTTTCCATTGTCTTCCTCCTTGGCCTTTGGGCTCTGGGGTAGGGTGATATGTGATATAGAAGTCCCATTTGTGACTGAGCACTCCACTGTGCAATTCATCCAGTTGTGAGTTTCCGCATCCACCACCCTCGGCCGCACCAATATGCTTACAAACTTTCTTAAGCCACCATCAGCCCATCTTCAGGGAGACTGGTGAAGATTTCATTCTCTATAATGTAGAGATAAGCATAATTGGGGGAATCTCTTAATTAAAAAAGAAGTGAGCACCAAGGATCAGTATGACTTTAGAAGTAGTGTTCATTCCCTGGCCTTAACCATCATTTGAAAAAGCCAGTGAGTAACTTCATAATCAGCCAGATTTTTGAAGTAGGGCTGTACATGAGTCTTGGGTTGATGGTGATTCTCTGAGTGATTCAGTGTTTCCTCCCTGGAGTAGGAGGATAGCGTGGCAGTGGTTAGCAATACAGTTTGTGCTAATCACTCTCTGGATACTTGTCGCAGCTTGGTCTCCTTATAGTTACAATCACTCCCCATCATGCACACGCAATGCAAAATGTGGGAATTAAGAGTAGTAGAGAATATTTATAGGACAGGGAGGACAGGCGTGAATGGTGCATGATGCTTTTCATGCTTCAGATAGGTTGCATCCCCTCCTGGGTTGTTGTTGTTGTTTTCCATCATAGGTGGACGTTCTCTGAATAACAGTCCTTTCTGGACTCTGAACATCAGGTTTGAGAGAAGGCCCTTCCTTGGTGGTGTTCTGCTGTTTTTGTTACCTCTTGCCATCCTTCCTCCCTCCTCCCAACCGAGTAGGAAGCCGAGTTTTCCAAGGTCTTTTTTTTTTTTTTTTTTTTTTTAACAAAAGAAGCAGAGTTCGCCTTGTTGAGGGAGTATGAATACTTTTCCTTGAAAAATATCTTTATGGGCAAAACTTAGCAGCAGACTCTGGGTATGAACGAACATTGGGTTACTCTTGTTTCTGTCAAACCTCACCCTTGTTCAGTTTTCAGTGAGTGGTAACTTCTCATCCTTACAGAGGACTCACGGGGCATCTCAGTTTCTGAGGAAGAATAATTCCTGCCCTCTAGTTCAGACTACATTGGAGTGCTTTTAGGAGAAAAGGCTGTGGGACTTTAAGACATTTCCTTTTAATGGGGAACCACCCACCCCTCATCTTACCCAGACACGTTCCAAGAGCCCCCAGAGACCAAAGGTCACCAGACAACAGTACCTTCTATTTTGTAAATCTGATCTTTTGTCTAAATTGCTAAAGTGAAAATACAGTTTTGTTTCTGTAACTAATCCTACCAAGTAGAACTGAGTTTTCCCAATAAGCCAAGTGAAAGTTACCACACACATCCTTGAATTTATATTACAATTTTGGAGTCCTCTTCTGAAGCAGAGGCTATGTTTTAGTTGAGAGGAAACGGATGAGGACTCCACATCCCATCTGAATTTTGTTCGCTGTGTGTGATAGAGGATGCACGCTCACTTGACATTCTTCTTTCTAGAAGCAAACCGCACTGCATCTTCTCATGTTAAGAATGCCTAGGTTTCAGTGATCAGTCTAATTTGTCTAAGGAAGTCCTGCTTTGCCTAGAAGGTGGATCTTTTGATTCTTGTTGGGAGAGTATGCCACACTTAAAGGGTCTGTTTAGTATGTTTATGGGTTCTTAGAGAAAAGGCAAATAGAGTGAATTTCATTAGACTTAAGGACCCTTCTTAGCCTCTACTGTAAATTCTCTTCCCATGGCCTTTAGCTCAGTGTACATAGACTGAGGCTTGGACACTCCCAAATACCATTACTTATTTACTTTATATTTAAATACTCTTGACAGTATCCACAGGTTTTAGAAAAGTCGCAAGCTCAGTATATTGCTCCATTGTCCTGAGTACTCTAGGATCTGTTTCCTGAAAACAAGGACACTCACTGATGCCACACACACAGATAAAGTTAGGAATTAGAATCATTGCACTACCAAACCTTCGCCCTCAGGTCCCTTTCAATTTCTCAAGTAGGTCCAGTGATGTCTTTAATTTCATAGTAGAAGAATCCAGTGTGGAGTCAATACATAGCATTTCGTTGTCGTGTCTTAGCTTCCATCCACTGGGAGTACTTTGTTTCCTCTCCCTTGACCTTTTCTAGGACTTCAGGCCAGCTATTGAGTAGATGAGGTAGCCTGGGCTCATGTGATGCTTCGTGATGACTAGGATCATGTGTGCGTCTTTGGTTGGCCATCATGACCTGGCTGTAGGCTCTTTTCTTGTACATTACACAAATTCTGTTTTTTGTTGTACCCTTGACATTGATGTTGACTGCAGTTGGTTCAGTGTGTGTTGTCTGTCACATTGCTTTATTTCTTCTTGTATTGCTCCACTGGGAAGCATTTTGAGAAAACACAAATATTCCACTATTTCTCAAACTTGAGTTTATTCTTATTTTCATTATCTCATCACAGACGGTAGGTAGATATCTTTTCAATGGATTATAACCCACTATGATAAACATTTATTTTCATTGAAAGACCCCCGTAGGTAGTCTTCCCTCTGGAGAGACCCTCGCCCAGAGATCACACCGAGACCACAAGTCAGATGCAAACAGCAAGAGGCTTTATTCCGGAACACGGGTACCCGGGGCGACACAGTCCCTCCAGAGGCTGAAGAGACTGGCGCGCCGACGGGCTGGAGTGGAGGGTTTTTATAGGGTTGGGCAGCGGAAGGGCGGGTACAGAAGCAGGAAGCATAGTTTACAGGGTTCTGATTGGACGATTCGTATGAGGCCATGTTTTACAGGGTTCTGATTGGACGACTCATATGAGGCCATGGTTTACAGGATTCTGATTGGACGATTCATATGAGGCCAGGTTCAAACTCAGGACAGCTCGTGGTTTTTCCCCGAGCTCGACACGCCTGCTGACTTGGCTCCCATCCAGGGTACAAACTGTCCCTCCGACCCTCCAGTTCCCTGTTCTGGGGCCAGGTGGCCGACCGCAGACACCCCGCTCGTTCCTGCGCCCATGTCCTCCAACTGAACCCTCCCCCGTACTCCTCAGGCCCTGCTCAAAATGGCGTCAGGCCAAGCAAGCATGCTGGGGCCCCTCAGCACCACCCCAGAAGAGTCCCGGGGTCCCGGCCTGCACCTCCCTGCAGGGCTCCCCAGTCCTCAGGCCGCGCCACCCCCACAGGGTCCCCGAGTCCCCAAGCTGCGCCACCCCGGGGGTACCCGGGTCCCAGTTTGCACCGCCCGGAGGGTCCCCGGCCCTTGGCCTGCTCCATCCTGCAGGGCCCCGGGCGCCCGGGTCGCGGCCCGCACCACCCTCGCCGGCGGCGGCACCGGGCGCTGGCGCCGGGCAGCGGCGCCAATCGGGCTCGAGGACACGGCGGGCCCGGGCTGGGAGCCTGCGGTCTCTGCCCGCCGCGCTACGACGCGGGGCCCGGGCGCGCGGGCCGCTGCGGGGCGCGCATGGCAGGCGCGGGCGGCTGGTGCGGGGACGGAGATGCGGCCTGGCCTGTGCTGCCCGCGGCTCCGCTCCTGGCGGCCTTTCATTCCCCCATTTTCTTATCTCGGGAATGGAATCCTCCATTCATGGGGAAGAATAGGGATGTGGCTAGCTGCTCCTGATAAGCCTTGGCCAGGGGCTTCCAGATCTCCCTCTGCACCAGTTGGAGGGCTTGAAGATGTGCCTCTAAAGTAGGGGTGGTGGCAAAAGATGAAATATCAGGATGGAGAAAGTTTACAACAGGAGGTGGGGCCCCATACATGCTCTCAAAAGGGGTTAGGCCGTGTGGGCCAGGAGTATTTCGGGCTCGGTAGAGAGCCAAGGGAAGTAGGAGCACCCAATCTCTAGTGCCAGTTGCAAGCGTTAATTTGGTTAAAGTCTCCTTGATTGTTCTATTAGCTCGTTCTACCTGTCCTGAGCTCTGGGGGCAGTATGCACAATGGAGTTTCCAATCAACCCCCAATAGTTTGGCCACCTTCTGACTTACCTGAGAGACGAAGGCAGGCCCGTTATCCGACCCCAATATTTGAGGCATCCCATACCCCTTGTTTAGATGAACCTTTCCTGCGTTGACTTGAGCACAGGCTGGGCAGGTAGAAGTTACCTGCTGGAGTACCTGATCCTGGTTCAGCAGCACTGCCCAGGTGTTTTCTCTGTCCAATAGGGTCTTCATCTCGTTTTTGCTCAAATGGGTCAATGCATGGAGGAATCTCAGCATGTATCGGGTATGGGAGGTTGGCATGACCATCCGGTCCCCTAGTATATATGCTTGTCTTCCTTGTTCCCAGTCCGCCCCCATTTTCTTTCTGTGGTTCTTGTATGGGATTTCCTTACCCGCGGACGTCAGCAGGCCTCTCCGTCTGTAGATTTCCCCGTGGACATGCGCAGTGGCGAAGGCATATCTGCTGTCAGTATAAACTATGAGCTTCTTACCTTCTGCCATCCGGAGAGCTTGGGTGAGCGCAATCAGTTCTGCACGCTGGGCCGATGTCCCGGGCGGGAGTGACGATGCCCATACCACTTCCGATTCGGTGGTTATAGCTGCCCCGGCTCTGCGTTCCCCCTCCTCCAGGAAACTGCTCCCATCTGTGTACCAGACAGCGTCTGGATCCTTCAGATCAGGGCGGGTGCCGGCTAGAATCTGGAGGCAGTCATGCTCCTCGGAGGGGCTAGGCAGTGGCAGCAAGGTAGCAGGGTTAAGGGAAACTGTCGGCCCAAAATTTACCCGGTCTGAGTCCAGTAGTAAGGCCTGATCATTCTGGCGTTAGAAAGCCATCTGTCCGGTGGTTGTCGGACCAAGGCCTCCACTGCATGGGAGGCCAGCACAGAGTCAGCTTCCCGGCATCCTTGAGTAATATGGCAATGGCTGCCACCATGCGGAGGCATGATGGCCATCCTGTAGCCACCGGGTCCAATTTTGGACAAGTACACTACAGGTCTCCTCCAATGTCCCAGTCTTGCACCAGTACCCCTTTGGCAAAACCTGAGTTCTCATCCACAAACAGCTCAAAGGGCTTGGTTAGATCTGGCAGACCCAGAGCCGGGGCCTCGAGTAAGGCCTTCTTGATCTGTTGGAACACTTTCTGATGCTTCTCCTCCCATTGGAACATGGCCCCTGGTTTAGTGAGGGGGTACAATGGGGCTGCCAGTTCGGTAAAGCCAGGAATCCAAAGGCGGCAGTACCCAGCCGTACCCAGGAGCTCTCGAACTTGGCGGGGGTTCCAAGGAGGGGGGATGGAGATTATCGTCTCCTTCCTTGCTCTTGTTAACCATCTTTGCCCCCCGCTCAGGGTGTAGCCCAGGTAGGTAACCTTGTCTCGGCATACTTGAGCCTTTTTGGCTGAGGCTCTATAGCCCTTTTGTCCGAGTCTGGCCAATAAGGCTCGAGTGCCCTCCAGGCACTCGGTTCGACTCCTGGCCGCCAGGAGTAGATCATCCACATACTGGAGCAGAGTCAGGGTTGGGTGTTCGACCCGGAATCCGGCCAGATCTGCATGTAGGGCCTCATCAAAGAGGGTTGGGCTATTTTTGAAGCCCTGAGGGAGCCGGGTCCAGGTTAACTGTCCCGAGAGCCCTTTTTCTGGGTCCCTCCATTCAAAAGCGAATAGCATTTGACTTTGAGGGTGCAGTCTCAAACAAAAGAAGGCATCCTTCAGGTCTAGCACAGTGTACCAGACGTGGGTCGGTGGGAGGGTGCTCAGAAGGTTATAGGGGTTGGGCACCGTGGGGTGTATGTCCTCCACCCGCTTATTGACCTCTCTCAAGTCCTGGACCGGCCTGTAGTCCCCTGTCCCCGGTTTCTTAACAGGCAAGAGAGGGGTGTTCCAAGGGGACTGGCAGGGCTTTAGCACCCCTTGGTCTAGGAGCCTTCGAATATGGGGCTTGATCCCCTCATGAGCTTCCCGTGACATTGGGTATTGTCTAATTGAAACGGGAGTTGCGGAGGCCTTTAGTGAGATCACCAGCGGTGGCTGATCGTGTGCCAGCCCCAAGCCCCCAGTCTCTGCCCAGGCCTGAGGAAACTCTCTCAGCCAGTTCTGTAGTTCCTCAGGAGATTTCTCCGGGGGTTCTGGTTCAAACAAACGGTATTCTTCTTCTAAACTGAGGGCAAGGATTTGTAGAGAGTCTCCTTTAGGACCCGTGACCCTCGGTCCCTTCTCATCAAAATAGATTTGTGCCTTCAATTTGGTTAATAGGTCCCGTCCTAACAGCGGATGGGGGCATTCAGGTATGTGCAGAAAGGAGTGAGTTACTTGCCCTGATGCCAGTTGGACTTTTCTCTCGGCAGTCCAGTAATACCTCTTGTTTCCAGTTGCCCCCTGCACCAGTGCAGAATGCCGGCTAAGAGGCACTCCGGCATGGGTTAGGACTGAATGTTCGGCACCAGTATCAACCAGGAAGGTCACGGGCTGCCCCCCGATCTTGAGGGTTATCCTAGGCTCAGGGGGGGGCTCCTGGCCTCGACTCCCCTAGTCTTCCAGACTAAGGAGGTCTACAGTCTTGGGCTTGGGCCGGCGGGGTCCTTGTAGCTTCTTGGGGCACTCTCGGGCCCAGTGTCCCTTCTCCTTGCAGTAAGCACATTGATCTTTATCAAGGGGTGGCCTCCTTCGCTCTCCCGACCTATCTCCCTCTCTCCGCTGTCCCTGAGACACAACGGCGGCCAAAACCTTTTTTATCTCCCTATGCTGTTTCTTGTCCCTTTCCTCTTGTTTCTGCCATCTCCTTTCCTCACGCTCCTCAGGAGTTTCTCTCTTATTGAACACTTTCTCTGCTTCCTTCAATAAGTCTGGCAAACCTAGCGCCTGTAAGCCTTCCAGCCGCTGCAATTTGGTTCTGATATCTGAGCTAGACTGATAGATAAATGATAGGATGACACCTGGTGCTTGCCCTGGGTCTTCTGGATCATACGGAGTGTACATCCTATAAGCCTCCTTCAGCCTCTCTAAAAATGCAGCGGGTGTTTCTTCCTTTCCCTGTATCACATTCCTTACCTGAGCCAAATTGGTAGGCCTTCTGGCGGCCGCTCGGAGACCCGCTAAGAGCAACTGGCGATAGAGACGTAGATGCTCCCTACCTTCAGGTGTATTGAAGTCCCAGTCTGGGCGGGTCAAGGGAAAAACTGCATCGATGATATTTGGGAGTTGGGTTGGCCTCCCATCGTCGCCCAGAACCTGCTTCCGGGCCTCCAGGAAAACTCTCTGCTTCTCCTCTACTGTTAAGAGGGTCTGCAGGAGCTGCTGACAGTCGTCCCAAGTCGGCCTGTGAGTCACTAGGATGGACTCAATTAGGCCGGTTAAGGCAACAGGATCCCTGGAGAAAGGGGGATTATGTTGTTTCCAGTTATAGAGGTCTGAGGCTGAAAAGGGCCAGTACTGCAACTGGCGATTCGGCCCCTCTCTGAGCGGGAAGGCCCTGGACTCAATAGGGGGGCCATCCCGGCGGCCGCGGAGGCGGCCGGCAATGGGGGACGGGGCTGCGTCCTCTTCTTCAGCCCCGTGGGTCCTGCGAGTCGAGGTGACTTCCGGATCTGCCACGGGCACGGCCGGGGACGCCGCCACCGGGGCGGCGGCTGGGGCCGCTTTGGCCGGCTCTCCAGGTGGTCCGGCTCGATATGGTGGTGGGTCCTCCGTCAGGAGATCTATAAGGGGAGTATTGGGGTCTGGGGGAAGGACTGGAGGCTTAGGAGTCTCCTTGTGAGGGAGCACGGGGTAAAGGGAGGAGTCTGGGTTGGGGGGCGCAGAAGGCCCAGAGACTGGAGGGGGCTGCGGAAGGAAAGGCTTAACCCATGGAAATGGGTTCTCGACCAGTGATCTCCAGATGGTGATATATGGGACCTGGTCGGGATGCCCATAAGGGCTAGGGGCGAAAACCTTACCCTCCACCTGCGAAATAAGAGAGAGGTTAAAAGATCCCTCTCGCGGCCAGCCGACATTCATCATGACCCATTCGGCCTCGCAGAAGGTGATCCATTTCTTCTTCCTGACAATGACACCTTCATTGTTTCCTCGGGCCTTAACATCGGACCAGTGGTCCTTGGTTAGGCTCAATGGGGTGGCGACAGCCTGTCCCATGGTGGTCTCCAAATAAAGAAGGGTTAAACACACAACGAGAAACAAACAGACAAGACAGACCACAGAATTTTTCGCTGCGCGGCTCCGGCGTAAAACCGAAAGCAAAAACTCAGATGGGGACGCGGAGTGTTTGAATTCTCCGTCCCCTGCCAGTACCACGTATCCTTCTGATGCGTGGGTGGCCCCGAAAAACCGTGCCCCAGAGGGGACTTCCCGTGCCCCAGAGGGGACTTCCCGTGCCCCAGAGGGGACTTTCCGTGCCCCAGAGGGGACTTTCCGTGCCCCAGAGGGGACTTCAGATACCCGTGGAACGTCTTCCAGGGTTTCGGTGGGCGAAGTCCGAGCTCGTCAGCTCCTTCAGCCCCCACCGACTCAGACCTGACTTAGGACGTCCGACGAAAACGAAAGACAAGTAAACAGACTGAGACAATACAGACAGACGGCCGGCCAGCTTACCTCCTGACAGTGGGTCGGTGGTCCCGAGGCGGGGGTCTCAAATCCCGGACGAGCCCCCAAATGAAAGACCCCCGTAGGTAGTCTTCCCTCTGGAGAGACCCTCGCCCAGAGATCACACCGAGACCACAAGTCAGATGCAAACAGCAAGAGGCTTTATTCCGGAACACGGGTACCCGGGGCGACACAGTCCCTCCAGAGGCTGAAGAGACTGGCGCGCCGACGGGCTGGAGTGGAGGGTTTTTATAGGGTTGGGCAGCGGAAGGGCGGGTACAGAAGCAGGAAGCATAGTTTACAGGGTTCTGATTGGACGATTCGTATGAGGCCATGTTTTACAGGGTTCTGATTGGACGACTCATATGAGGCCATGGTTTACAGGATTCTGATTGGACGATTCATATGAGGCCAGGTTCAAACTCAGGACAGCTCGTGGTTTTTCCCCGAGCTCGACACGCCTGCTGACTTGGCTCCCATCCAGGGTACAAACTGTCCCTCCGACCCTCCAGTTCCCTGTTCTGGGGCCAGGTGGCCGACCGCAGACACCCCGCTCGTTCCTGCGCCCATGTCCTCCAACTGAACCCTCCCCCGTACTCCTCAGGCCCTGCTCAAAATGGCGTCAGGCCAAGCAAGCATGCTGGGGCCCCTCAGCACCACCCCAGAAGAGTCCCGGGGTCCCGGCCTGCACCTCCCTGCAGGGCTCCCCAGTCCTCAGGCCGCGCCACCCCCACAGGGTCCCCGAGTCCCCAAGCTGCGCCACCCCGGGGGTACCCGGGTCCCAGTTTGCACCGCCCGGAGGGTCCCCGGCCCTTGGCCTGCTCCATCCTGCAGGGCCCCGGGCGCCCGGGTCGCGGCCCGCACCACCCTCGCCGGCGGCGGCACCGGGCGCTGGCGCCGGGCAGCGGCGCCAATCGGGCTCGAGGACACGGCGGGCCCGGGCTGGGAGCCTGCGGTCTCTGCCCGCCGCGCTACGACGCGGGGCCCGGGCGCGCGGGCCGCTGCGGGGCGCGCATGGCAGGCGCGGGCGGCTGGTGCGGGGACGGAGATGCGGCCTGGCCTGTGCTGCCCGCGGCTCCGCTCCTGGCGGCCTTTCATCATATTTAAGTTGCTTTTATTCACTAGTCTTTAGGAGCTCTTTAAGTTCTGTAGCTAGTCAGGTTTATATACTTTATACTTAGTTTATACTTTCTACTTAATTGCTACAAAAAGATGTTCTAGCTTTGGCCCTATATTCAGCCATTTCCCCAGTGAAGGAGTAGCCATCATCTACTACCCAGAAGCCCTTTCTCCCATTGCTGTTTCTCCATCCCTTGCTGTCTACTTTGTTAGTCTCTATGTAATGGCTTTGGGAATTGAATCATTCAAGAATAAGGAGAGTACTGTTTGTTTTGATTTAATGACTTGTGTTAGCTCTGTGTGGATGGGGACTATGACTTATCTGATAAGACATTCCCTAGAGTCTACTACATATAAATGCTCAATAAGTTATAGATTCATTCAAAGACAAATACTTGTTATGCACCTATTAGGGGTCAGTCATTATTCTAGACACTGGAATAAAGCCATCAATCAATAAGAAAGCCACATAAAAGTAATAGTGGACATGACATGGATCAAATTTAGAAAAATAAAAGCAGTTAATTCACGTGTTTATAGGAGTTCTGTGAATGTTAATAGCTCATTGAGAATGATGAAAATACTTCCATAAAACGGCAATTTCAGTTAATTCACATTCATGTGTGCTCCAGGATGAAAGATTTGAATTCACATTTTCTTTCTTGCTGTGCTGTTGATTAAATAGCCCCTGTGTTTGGTAGTACTTTGCACTTGAAAATTATAAGGATGTGTGTCTGTGTGTGTGTGTGTGTTTATGTGTGGGTACATGTATGTTCACATGTGTGTGGAGAGCAGAGCTCAATGTTGGGTGTCATTCTCAGTCACTCTCCCCCTTGTTTTTTGAGATAGACTGCTGCTCACCAAACTTGGAACTTGCAGATTTAGCTAGACTGTCTGGCCAGGAAGTCCCAGAGATCCACCTGTCTCCACCCCCTAGGGCTAGGATTGCAAGCACTCACCTGACATTTTAAATGTGGGGATGCTCAGAGCCTCACGCTTGTCTGGCAAGCACTTTGCCAATGGAGCCATCTCCTCCGCTTGAAGCTGATGCTCACTAGAGTGCACAGAGTAAATGCATCATGGTAGTTTTTCCTCTTGATGATTTCTTGAGTTAAGACAGTTCTGCTTGCACTCCATGTGCAGACTATGGTGCCCAGAATAATACTAAGTGCTTTAATGGGCAAAATGGGGATCCTAGCAACATAAACATTGTATATTACCTAACACCACATTATAGATTATTAGTTTCTATATCTTTGAATAAAAATAGTTCCAGAGGAAAATGTGACTGGAGTGTTTTCTGTTATACTGTGTATACATGTGTTTAAGACAAGGTCCTTGAACTCATGACAGTCTTCCTGGCTTAGTTTCCCTAGTGATCTTTTTACAGGTTTAAGCCACATGCCTGACTCTGTCATAAATTTTTCTTATCTATCATCTATCTGTCTATCCATTTGTCCGTCAGTCCATCCATCATCCATCCATCCATCCACCCACCCATCCATCCATCCACCCACCCACCCACCCATCCATCCATCCATCCATCCATCCATCCATCCATCCATCCATCATCCATCCATCCATTTATCCATCCTCCACCCACCCACCCATCATCCATCCACCCATTCACCCATCCATCCATCCATCCATCCATCCATCCATCCATCCACCCACCCACCCATCCACCCATCCATCCATTCATCTATCCATCCTTCATCCACCCACCGTTATCCATCCATCCATCCATCCATCCATCCATCCATCATCCATCCATCCATATGGGTGTTTTGACTACAAGTATTTCTTTGCACCACTTGTGTGCATTGTCCATGGAGGCCAGAGAGCATCAAATCCTCTGGAGCTCAAGTCACAGATGATTGTGAGCCTCCATGTGGGTGCTGGGTACCAAACATGGATCCTCTGGAAGAACAGCATGTTCTCTTAACCACTGAGCCATCTCTTCTGCCCCATATTTTTTTTTATGTAAAGGACACTTAAAACTACATGAGAATGTGCAAGCGGCCAAAGGAGAGTATCCAGACCCTCTAGAGCTGGAGTTACAGGATTCTGTGAACTTCCTGTCTTGTAGGTTCTAGGAACCAAACTCAGGTCTTTTGCAAAAGTAGCAAATGCTCTGAATTGCTGCACCATCTCTCCAGTCCCCTCTGTTACACTTCTGATAATACATAATAGAGTATAGGAAACATAGAATCGGCAACAACTCATTACAGTCAAACATCTACATTTCATTAATTCCTGTCAGAATTACAATAAATGTTATAGAATTGAGCTCTCTTTCTTCCAGTACTAGAATATTATACAAATATGTATTCATTTAACACATAGTGGATTGCCTGTTCTTATCTAAGTAGTTATCTCACAATTAATTCTCTTAGGAAGATTCAATGCGATGATGTGTGGGCTTTGTTCATAGACTCTAATGAATATGTGAACACTAGATGTGAATATCTCTTATTACACTATCAGGAATTATGATCATTTAAAAAATAAAAATAGGTTACAGCTTACACACTTGAGGATTTCTCAGTCCTGCTGTAGGGAGTCTTGTTCACTATGTCTGGGTTAGGTCTAAAATCCTGACTTCCTCCTTCTTGTATCTTTTTATTAACTCAGACAATTTAAGACCATGAATTTCTGATAGCATCCAGGTAGTGCCCATGCTGTTGTCTACTGACCCCATTCAGTGATATGCTGGTTTTGTTGTATAAACCATTTGCATATTTAGCTTCATGTTATTTTATGTAACCATTTGGAGCCCCATATCAGCATGTTCATTCATTGTTCTGATTTCTGAATAGACTTGTATGCATAGACGCTCATATAGTAGATATGTTGAATTGTGCCATATTATTTGTTTTACATTTTAGTGTGTATTAGAGTTGGTATGTTTTCACCAATCACACTTCTTTCTTTTAGCATATGGATTTATTACTTTTGCTAATTTTTCTATATTGTGTAGCTATAATTGATTATATTTCCAATTAGTATATTCTCCTAAATTCCCTGTGACTTTTTTACTTTATGATATCTTTTCATAGAAGGGGAAAACATTTTTAAAAATAGACTTATTTTATTTTTAGTTATGTGTTGTGTATCTGTGTGTGTGTCTGTGTCTGTGTTGGGGGTGATGGGGTGTGTGTGTATGTACAAGTGTAGGTACACATGGAAGCAAGAGTTCTTGGATCTTCTGGAGCTGGAGTTGCACACTGTTGTGAACCATCTGACGTGGGTGCTGGAAATTGAGCTGAGGTCCCCAGGAAAAGCAGTGCTTGCTCTTAACCACTGAGTCTCTCTCTAGCTCCTAGATAAAAAAAATTTTTTTTTTGAGACACAGAAGATGGAAACTCTTAATTTTAGTGTCATCGAATTTATTTTTTAAACATTTACTGGCTTTAAAAAAATATAATTTATTTAATGTTCATTGGTGTTTTGCCTGCATGTATGTCTATGTGAGAGTGTCAGAAGCTCTGGAACTGGAGTTACAGACAGGTGTGAGCTGCCATGTGGGTGCTAGGAATTGAACCCGGGTCCTTTTCAAGAGCAGTCAGTGCTCTTAACTGCTAAGCCATCTTTCTGGCCCATGATCAAATTCCTTAATGATTAATTCCATTTTGTGTCTCATTTAATATGAAGTTCTATAATGAAATGTCGTATAAATGTTCATCTAGATTTTTTCTGAGGCATTTTAGCATGTTTGTCCAATGCTGAAATACTTTTAAACATCTAAAATTCACCTCATGGATGGTATGAGGTAAGGATCTCATTTACATTTTTTTCCTGTGTTGAAAATCCTGTTCAGCATATTTTCCTGAGTTATCTACACTTTCCACACTTTCCCCAATAATCTCCCCTGTCAGACTTTGATTTTCACATATTTGTAAGCTGTTTGAGGAAATGGTATAATTTCACCCCATTGGGCAGTCTGTGTGTGTCCTCAGCACTTAGTAACAGTGCTGTAATCAGGGGCATTCTACAAGGCTGCTTACTCTGAGGCCTGGCAAATTGTACTATGTAATTAGATTTCTATACATGAGTTTTAGGATCAATTTCAATTCTTGGAAAAACTGGTAAGATTTGTATTGAAAGTACCCTGAATCCACAGATGATGGACTATGAGGATAGTCCATGAACTTAATTTATCATTTTTATCTAGGCCTTCTTTAGTGCTTCTGAAGTATTAAGAAAGGTTAGGGAAAGTTTGCCTGCCTTTAAGTTTTGTTTATTCCTAGGTACTATTTCGGGGAAAGAGGGAGTTGCTTTGTTTAAAAAATAAACGTTTTATTTTCTGACAGTTTCATGTGGCTTATAATCAGTACTGTAAGTGTAATGTTCGTGACAGTTATCCTCTCTTACCCACTTATATTTCTTTTGGACCCCTTCTTCTAAAGAAGTCACCCTCTAAATGTTATGCCTTTTTCCTTCCTTTATTTTGTTTATTTATTTATTTTAGAAAGGGTTTCACTGTGCATCCCTGGCTGTTCTGGAACTCACTATGTAGACCAGCCTGGCCTAGAGATTTGCCTTAGAGATCTGCCTTCTGAATGCTAGGATTAAAGTCTTCTCTCCGTCTCTGTCTCTGTCTCTCTGTCTCTCTGTCTCTCTGTCTCTCTCTCTCTCTCTCTCTCTCTCTCTCTCTCTCTCTCTCTCTATCATCTCCATCTCTGTCTGTCTGGATATCTTTATCTCTATCTCTTGCTGCCCCTCTGAGTTTAGTTAGGGTTGCTGGGATGAGCCTGGGTG